CAGTCAGCATCAAACAGGTGAGTTTCTTGTGGGGTCTGAAGCATACAACATATTGAGACTACTCTGTTTAAAAGTTTGTCAGTGATCTGGGAAAAGACACAAAGTCTTCAATTATAAGATCTCCAAAAGACACAATAACCATGAAAGAGATAAAGAATGTAGTGGAAAAGTCATTCATACAAATACATTTGGTTAATGTAGTTAGTATAGTGGAAGAAAGCAGTATGATATGATTTTGTCAAATTACAAGGCATATCTCAGAAGAAAGAAACCAGGCCAAATTTACAAGATGGAAAACCTGTGAAGTGGTAACTTTGGGAAGGAGTCATTGGTGAAGGACAAATCCAAAATCAGTTGTCAGCACAAGGCAGCAGCCAAGATAACTGATGCAATCTTCAGATCTGTATACAGTGAGCTATCAAATAGGAGTGCAGGTGTTATGTTGTGCTTGTAGTTGACAGCTATTTAACAAAGCACTGACTCCATTAAGTGCCCACAATTAAATAAAAATAGTGAATTCTAAATGTTTGTTAGAGAAGATTCACAGGAATTATTAAGTAACTGAAAAAAACACAAAGGAATTTATTACACATTGCTAAAAAAAAAAAAGAGAAAAATTAAAGGACAATTTGAACACACTCTCAAAGTTTCTACACAGAGAAGATTAATTGCAAGATTTTATTTAATCTAGTAAATATGGCCATTAAGCCATGCACTGAAACATACATTTACATTGAAACTAGAAGTAACTTTCATCAGGAAAGGTCTGCCCCAGAAACAAATTAAGTTGTAGCAGATTCTCAATTGTTTTCAATCATTTAGAAAAAACATCCAATCTCGATTTTAAAAATTTCAACACATAGATTATTTTTGAAAAAAAAAAATTAAAATACTGTGACCTGTAGCACAGGTCACAATAGTCTTTTCTGCCAATCAAATCTATCTATCAACTAATTTCACACAACATAAAACAAACTGGTGATAGCAACACTGGTAAGAAAACCAACTCCTGGGCTATAGCATTTAGAAATTTTCTGGTCAGTAGCCTCTCTCAGCAAATAAAAAGAAGAATCAAAACTATTTAGTGATCTTATTTTGTCACTGTGGTCTCTTGGGAACCCAGATCACATTTACACTTGAGAAACAAGTGTGAAGTTTTCACACTTGACCAGAAAAATTAGCTCTCAGAGAAGTGACATAACTCCCATTGAAATCCTCTTGTAAGCCTCAACAGTGCAAACTGTAACAACGTAAGCCTAAAATACTAGGTATTTATCAACCCCTTCCCAGCCTGGACTGAGACACAGAGAGTACTGGGTCAATTTAATAGAGATGAATGGAGGAGCAGAACTTCTTTTCAACGCTCTGTGTCTCACAGGGGAAGGAAAGACGAAGAGGGGGAAAAAAAAGGCATCTTTTAAAGACAAGCAGGACAAATAAATAAAATCACTTGCAGGAAACCTTCCTTTCAACTGCACCAAACACTTCCACTACATTTGAGGTCCAAAGCCCAGATAGTCCATTTACCTCTTCCTTTGCAATATGAATGCCTTTTGCACCCACCTCCTCCTCTCACCCCTTGGCAAGTTATGGGATTTGCTGCTATCACAGAATTCACTCCACTTGTGTAATGGTCTTGTCCTCTGGGTTGTGTTCATCTTTTCTACTTGAAGCATGCTTCCACTCTTTCATAGCATGCTACACAAGCCTAGCAGAAGATAAATTTACTCCTCAGGTTTGGGGTTGCGTTCTTTTTTTAAGATATATATAATCATGCCATGACTAGGAACTTCTCTAACTTGTATTCACCTATACCTGTTCTCAAGGAATCACAAGTCTAGTGAGGATTTCTGGAGTAAAGTGCACACTCCTCGTGCTGTCTCCCATCCTCAAAATGTAGGAGATGCCAGTAGAGTTAGTTAGCTAGCTATTCAGTGATTAACAGCTGGGAAACACTTATTTGCAACTGATTTATTCTGCTCCAGTCTCACAGAACTCCAAGATGAGAACGGGCCACAATTTGGATCTGACTACTGATTTGATTATATTTTTCAGTTTGACAACTATAGGTAGGAGCCTTGCTGTGAGAAACCAGAATTAATATATTAATTCTTGACAGGTAGTGGAAAGAAGATTAACATTTTTAATTGTAATTAAGCCTTTTTGGTTACACAGAATAGCTTGTCCTGGAGATTAGTCAGAGCAGTGTGGAAGGACTTCCATTTTGTTGGCTTCACAAGGACACATTTTGAAGGCAGTGTTCTGGGATCTACATCCAAACAGAAATGCTCTCCTCTCTGACACTTCCACCTTCTTCATCCTTCCGTGACCCTTTATCCCAAGCATCTCAGCTTATTATTTGAGAGAACCACAAAATGGTTCCACATCTCTCTCCCTTCCATCCCTCTCTGATGGCCATGCCCCTTATTCACAACTGTCCATTTTCAGGAACACCATCTGTCTACTTCCAGTCTTCTCACATGAAGGGGCCACACGAGGGTCCATCTTCTTTCACAATCTTTTTTCACCATGGTACTACTCCCCAGCTTCAGCTTGTTCCCTTATGAGTATGGACAAGATTCCTTCTCAAAATTTCACGGGTAACACAAAGGCAACTTTCCTGACTATGTACCAGTGAGTCAAACAAAACTGGAAAACAACTCTTACAAGGAAAAGAAAAAATTATTTCATTTAGACAGCCCCTGAACTCAATCTTACCAGAATTTTCAATTTAAAAAAATTTTTGAAAAAATCAACCTAATGAACAAATCTTGTATGAAAAATTTAGACTCAAAGGTGTTCAAACTTCAAACTTCTGAAACTAAAACACTAAAACATTTAGTAGTGGTAAATCACCTTAATTACATATGACATTACCACCCTTAGCAGAAAGCTGATCAAACAAACAGGTACATAAACAATATGTTTGCATGTAAAATGCATACATTTTATTCAAACATACTGTGGTTTTAGGTCTTGTCTGTTAGAAAAACTGTAAAATTAATCTGATTAATTATGAAATCTGTTGATATTTTACAGGAAGCATAACATTTCCCCTTCCATATACAAAGATACAAAAGAATTTCCATGGCATCTTTATGAGAGACTCAGTCTAACATCATTTATTTAAGTGCTGGAATTAGCACAAAATTACCAATCAGGACTCCTACTCCCATCAGGTCACTTAAAAGACAGAAAAGGTGTTAGACACCTAATTCTCCCAGATTTTGAAATGTTTTAGCCACATATTAATAAATCCTATCGTGATCCTCTTCACTTTGTACAATAAGGGTGATACGAAATGCAACACAATAAGATGACAGAAACCCTGAAGGGAAATAATTTAGAATAGATAACAGGAATTATTTTAATACATAATTAACTTGCAAATATACCAAGAGCAGTTTGTTAAAGATGCTGCACTGAAATTTATTAAACCCCCCTGCATTTCAGTAGACACAATGTGCAAGCCCAATGACATGGGTAACAATATTACTATTAATACCATTAACAACCACATTACTATGCATGTCATCAGTCCCAAATTCACACACATGTCCATGTCATATGTTCAAAGACCATTAAATGTCAGGAATCTCATTTATCTTCTCCTTTGAAATAAATATGCACTTGTGGAAACACCAGTGGGTTGAATCCTACCACAGAGAAGCAAACTGTATGCAGTGAAGATGGAAATACTCCTCAGAAGAACATTTCACAGCCCTGTGTTCTGTGCTTGTTTATTGTTACTGCAGTGAAAGCTTTGAATGGATAAACTGCACATGGGCTTTAAGTGAACGCTCAGGAGCAAATTCTGCCCAGAGGAGCAGGATCTTGACGCTTGTGGCAACATGATCAATCTTTTAACTTACTACAGCCAGAACGGAAACTGAGTCCAAGCAAAAGGTCAGAACAGGCATTTTATATTCTCTGTTAAAGGAGGGGAGGGAAAAAATGTCTTTGAGGAGTAAAGTAAGTAGCTAATGAGACACAGCACTGACAGCTGGAATTTAATAAGTATCCACTTCACAAGGAAAATTGCTCTTAGTAATTAAATGCAGGTATCACACAAAGCTTCTGCTTAGAGCTAGACTTCAAAATTCTTCTGTCAGTAGGACTGAAGAGGTTTTACATACTAGGTAATATAAGGGTGAGTTTGCCTGGGAGGCTAGTCCTAAACGAAGAGGGTTAATTGCATAAATTTCACAGTCATGTCAGTGGTAAATAATTCCAAAGGGACTTGTTCAGATAGTAGTCTGGCATTACTGAAAAACAGACTGCAACTAAAAAGACCTGTTATAAAGTTCACCAAAACCTGAGACACATAAAAAGTTTATTAGTCATTGCAGAACTAAAACGCAAACAAGATCTTTTTAGAGGGATCCAAAATTCTTTATGCTCCAGGTCTGTAGGGCCATAAAACTCTACCTGAGAAAATTTTAAACAATCTTCTAATTAATCACAGGATTTTATAACCTTTCACAAGCTGTAAGTAAAACATTAACAAGGTAGGAGGAAGTACTCTTTGTACTAAGCATGATTCCTAACCCCGCTGACATACCCCACTAGATGAACCAGGTTAGAATTTAACATCAAACTGAGATTATAACGGATAGACACAGAAATGGTGTTTCATTTATGGGTCTGCATTCCCATAAACGAAGGTTTAAGTCTCTAAATTACTGGGAGCATCTGAGAGAGCAGTGTTTGTTTTTCTGTAATTTGTGAAACCACCATCAAAATATAACCACATAACATATGCTTAACATAATAAAACTCATATCCCTAAAAAGACATCTTCATCCTCACTTAATTAGCCATCCAAGAGAACACTGTTGGTATTATAAAAAGAAAGCAGTTTAAGTAGCTAGATGGTTGAATGTTTTTATCAACTATATCCAATAGATTTGCATGTATTCGGGTATGCACAACACAATCACACAGCTATATTTACTTCAGTGCAAAAGAGCACTGACTCTGCAATATATGTTGCAACCTACCTCATAGTACATCGGCACATCCTTAACCTTTTTTCCCTTTTGATTCCCAGATTCTCTGATCTGCAAGGAAATAAAGCATTCTGCTGTGAGAAGACCTAAATTTACACAAATCATTTTACCTGTTAATCCATTTTGCAAACACTACACTCACACTCCAGAACAGTGAGGATTTATGGTATCCCTGTAACTTAGGGAGGGAACTTTTGTGACCAACACTTTGAAGAAGAGTCTGTAACAAAACCTCACTGTTTACAGATTATACAGTAAGCTTTTCTTTTTCCATTTTTAACTCCTATGAATTACTGTAATTTTTAAAACTTCGCCAGAGTAATTCAATTGAATATGAAATTTATAGTTACAACAGATCAAAGAAATTAGTATCTAGTTTTAGTATCTTGTTTGTGATTAAAAGTCCCTTTCTTGGAATACCTGTCTGAAAATGTCTTCACGTGTTACCACACTGAAGAGCTTCCGCTGTGGCACCTGCACAGCAAGAGACAGGGCCTCGGTGTGGATTTCATCTTCAATTTTGGAACCAACCACAAAAGCAATGCTAGGCTTCCAGTCATCCTACTTTCCAAAAATAAAACATTTAAGGTATTAAAACTCAAGCAAACAAAAGTGCTCCTCTGCCATTTCAAGGACCAACCCTGTAGAGATGATTACCCTCTTTACGATGTATTAAACATCACTATATGAATCACACTGAACAAAATAAACTCCGCAACCCGAAAAAGCACGTACTACTTTGTCCTAATTCTTTTTGCCATCATATCTCCCACTGCCCATCCAGCCCACCAAGAGTGGAAAACGCAAACACGGACTCTATTTCTTTCATGTAAATGCTGCTTCTTTTGCCCTGTTTACAAAAACACCCCCCCCCCCCCCCCCCCCCCCGCAGGCAAACGCTGCATCAGCATCACACAAAGATAAAGTATCTTTTAAATTGCATTTGCAGCTCTGACGGTTCAGTAAGCAAAGAAGAAGCGCATTTTGAATATATGTATTATTGTGATTACTTGCTGTAGGGAAAAAAAAAAAAACCAAAAACAACCACACAACAAATTTCAGCTCCCTCATCCTGGGAATTAGATAATGCACAGGTAGTGTTTTCTGAAAACTACAGTATTATTTGTATGATGTTTTATGAGGGCATATTTATGCATACCATAGTTCCTACAAGTACTCTGAACTAAGAAAAATTATTTATCAATGGCAAGAAATATTTCTCTACAATATTGACAAATGAAAAACACTATGAGTTTTCAACATTTGCAGTAAAATACACCTACTTTATGAAAAAAAATAATCTGATTTCAGCATTAAAGAAATGCAGAACAGGAGAAGTTTGAAACACCTTATTTAGTGACACACATCCCCAGAAGCTTCAAAACAATGTAATGTAAGTAACTTTTACTAGTTATTCTGCTTTCCCATTAACCTTCTTTCCCAATAAGTTTAACCTGCTGGAATCCCTGTCATAAAGCAAGTGGCTGCCTCCAGCACATACACATCTCATTCCAGAGTATTCTCTACCAGCATCAGTGGTGCTTCAACCATAAGCACTTCCAATGGTGTGCTGTACACTTTTCAGGGATCACCAAATTATTTTTTTTCATTGCAAAAAATGAAATTACACATTCTGGATGTGTAAACTGCAAGGATATCAATAAAGCTGCATAAAGGTAAATATGGAAAGAGCTTCAATAAGACCAAGGTAGTCCCAAGACATTGTCAAGCAATCAGGACCAGGCTAAGCAGAGTCACATACCAGGCCAGCATGCATCATAGCACGTAATGATTCCAAAGACAAATATAAGAAAGGGAAGTAACTTTAGGATTCTGATGGGAATATTTTCATACATATATATTACACACAAAGTCCTTGTGGAAAAGAGGAACAAAATCTGAGTTGATGGTAATGTAAGGGAAAGGACCATTCAAAAAAAAAAAAAAAAAAAAGAAAAAAAAGAAAAAGTGAGATGTAAATGGAAAATGCAGAAATTTCTTTTTCCAGTTTTATGGTACACTTCTTCATTTATTCCTTCTCTTAGCTGAAAAAAGTTTGAAATTTATGTCAGTTGTTGCTTTCTCCTATCCCAAGTGATTAACTGATGACTTGGGATGGGAGAAAGCAACAGTTGACATAAGTTTCAAACTAATAAATGCTTGCATGGAGTGAAACAGTTTGTCATAATCTTAAGGTTACAAAGCATTAACATCACATGAATATGGCACGACGTGATCGTACATACCAATTTTTTACACCCATGTTTTAAATCACAGAACATTCAGAGCAACAAAAAAAGATGGAAAGGTCACTTGGCTCACTAAACGTAGTCTTCTGAAACTGCAAGTAGCTACAGAGCAGATACCTAATCCAAAAGGGCCCCCTACAGTTCCACACATCATAAACTTCCTTGATGCTTTGTAACAGCACAAAAAAATCCTTAAGTTTTAAAATTAAAAAATGCAGGAGACTGCAAGCCTATCAATGATGGTCTAGGAGCGTGCAAACACGACAGAATTTATGGAAGGAGAGTGTTCAGCTGACCTGGGACAGCAGGCACTGCTCAATGGCTTGTGTGGGGACTGTGACAAGTACACCGAATTTCTTTTTACCCTTTCTAGATGAGAGGGCAGGACAGGAGCAATACCTCCTCCTGCCTAAAGTTGACAAGATAGCTACCAGTGCACAGCACTATGGAAGAGATTGATATTCTGATATTATCATCAAAACATGTGCACAGGAGTCGCAGTCATACTGAATTCAAGTTAAAGATGACATTGTATGGCTGCCAAGAGTTGGACATGAGAGCTTTACCATTCCTTGAAGAGAGAGCAGTTACCTGTCCTTACCTGTGTCCAAATAAATGATTTTCTAGCCTTTCAGAATTGAGGTTGAAATGCAGTCACGTGGCAGTATCCTGGTGCTCCCAGGGCTTGCCAGCAGAGACCGAGCTGTTAGAACAACCAGATATCCACCTGCAACATGATTCAGCTACTGGAGCTAATGGTGCAATTGATATTACTACACTGACCACCTCAGTGAAAAACAACAAAAGAGGGGAACAAGGTCTAGCAAGCCTCACAGACAGATGCTGACAGCTCAAGAAGAGCAAAACTCAGGAATGTCAAGTTCTACTCTAGATGGCAGGGGAAGAACAGTCCAGCAGCAACAGAGAGCCAGCTCCCACAACTTTTGCAGTTCTTCAGATATACAAAGAAATCTCCATCAGACAGTCCTAAAACCTCTGCCTTACATCTTCTCCAGTTCCTCCTTAAAACATGCTGGTATCTTGGTGCCTGCAAATTAAACCTGCTTAGCACTGATTAACATCATCCTGCAACAACGATGCCTGTGAAACCCGCCTTCTATAAAATGCTGTCTCTTCTTCATCTTTCTACCCCTCAGTCACAACTCATTTCTCCTTCCATTTCCACTCTCTGTTCCTCTGAGTTCTGCTACTTCTAATGCTTCCCACATCTGTTACTTGCTCCCCCAGCTCTTGTCCTCAGTCTCCTTGCCCAGCTAGTCTCTAGTTTTATTATGATCCCGCTTCCAGCTTTCTCCATCCTCATTCCTTCTCCCCTAATATTTTCTAGCACCTCTAATACTTCCCAGGCACGTTCAGAGTTATGTTTGAGCAATGAGACTCTCCACCACGATCCTTGGAAAGGCATTATAAGCAATGGAGAGAGAATTTCCACTGTGGTACCCACCTTCACAGCAGCCTGTAACAAAGCACCAAAGGGTAAGTTCTGCTTGTGAAAAATGAATTTTTCAAAATGTTAGGATTTATCCAAAAACAAACATTCTCAGAAAAATGTACGTCCTCAGCAAAAGGTACGTGCTCGACATCAATGTGCCACATTTCCCTCCCCCCAACTCAATTCTCTGCTTCAAAGAAAGAAGCTGCTTAAGCTTCTCCACTGAACAGCTCTGGGACTATTTATAGCATAGGCAAAACACTGGCTAATATATTAAAAGTAAAATATGTAGAATCAGCCTCTACAAGATAACCGGTAGTAAAAATTATAACCTCACCCAACCTAATTCTACAGAAGTATATGCAACTCAATATAAGGTCTTTTGTGTAAAAATTTAAACAGTATTAGAGACAGCGCATACTGTAGCCCCACTGTAAAATGAAAAAAAATATTCCTTTTGTAATAAAAGGTTCAATACCTGTGAATTGGAGCTAGATAAATACCAAAAATAGCTACATACACTTTACCAGGGAATAATGATCCAGAATTCCCAGAGTAATTAATAGCATGTAATCTATTTTTAGACTCACCAATTCTGAAGCCCTCAAAGATAATTTTTCAGAAAAGCTGAACATAAAGAACAGTAACTGAAGTCAATAAGGACAGCACATGTGCAGCATTAATATATAGTTTAAGGTGTTTAATTGACTATGCTCTTCTGACCTTAAAAAAATCTATTATTTTTGCAATATTGCCCTTATATTATCAATAATGTAACAGTATCCTTAATGTTCAAGGCACTGGAAGGATAGAGAAGAAACAGACCCTGCTTCTACAGCTCACCACCTAAAATCACAACATAAAAATGAGAAGGAAAAGTAGTAAAATGTATATGGTTACTTTAAAAATATTTTCTCCCTCAATGTACAACTGCTCCTCTACTTAGTTTAATTCTTTCAAACGTTATTATAGAAGTGAGACCTGAGAAAGGATCTGAAAAAGGATAGATTAGTGACCCTAAGGCTACCTCAAATGAGATTCCCAGCTTAAAGAACAAGACAGAGAAAAACCATAAAATTAACTACTGGGAAAGCATGGAAACAGTCTAGGGGGGCTGCCACTGAGAGTATAACACCAGCACGACGTACTGTGAACAAAGAATACCAAAATGCAGAGAGTAGACAGCCCACAGAACTAACAATGTTGATTCAAATATGAATGAAAAAAAAAAATATTGAAGCTGGAAATGTGGGCATTGGTAACTGAATACTCCTTAAACAACCTGAAACAAGTTCCAATTAAGGAGAGGCCAGACCACTATCACTGAAAAACATACAGTGGCGATCATGGTCACAAATGACACTGTCCCCCCCATTTGAAAACTCTTGGCCATGTCAAGAGTTGAAACACACCAAACTCTCATTCAGCGTTAGAATAACCATCTATGTGGGAAGCTTGTATGTCCCTCACGTGAAGAGGCCCCATCCCACCTAACTCCAAAAGCTCCATGTAAGCAGCTAGCAGCTTTCCAAAATCCTTGTTTTCAGAAAACACAGGTGTCTCACTGTCTCCTGATTTTGTTCTCAAGCCTCCATTGTGTCCTTCTGTAATGTGATTTCTTCCAACTGTTAAAAACCAATACACACAGCCTACATATCTTATTTCTCACAGCAGTATTGGAACAGCATAGACACGTTAAAAAATTCTCTAACTTCAATTCACATTGAAGAAAAAAGCAGATGTAGCTCACAAAATTTTGTTTCCTTTTTAAACATACCTTGTTTTCTCTGCTTCATTTCCTAGACACACAAGGGCAGCTGTTCTATAAAAGACATTTGAACAAGCCAGGTATATTGTTTATTTTTGCAGTACCAGTTTCTCTTTGGCCAGGAAAAACATCAAGCAGCCATTTCATTCCACCCCCATTTCCAGACCATCTGAGTATCTGTCATTTTGCATCATCAGTTATTCTTGTGGTATTTAATGGGGGTTTTTTGTTTGTTGGTTTTTGTTTGGTTGGTTGGGGTTTTGGTGATTTTTTTTTAATTATTTTTTTTTCCTTCAGGACACAACTAGCAGATTCATTTCATTACAAGCACAACTTTAACTGTAATGGCTAAGAGAAACATTTGAAAACGTAAACTCCAAACATTTGAGCACCAAACAGCAAGAGTTCTCCTGATTTTCAAGTAATGCCTCAGAAATAATGAGATTTATTAGTGATTTATGAACACTTGGGGTGATACTACCTCTAGCACTCTTTGCTTTCAACAATGAGGGAGCTTGTAAATCAGTAAACACAGCCAGCATTACTGGGAAAGGTTGCTCATCAGCAGTTTTGTCGCCCTAACATAGTGACTGTGTAGGTTATCACTGCTAAGAAATCTTTGAGTCCACTTTCACTACCTGCTGCCTGACACACACCCATATTTACTAATGGGTTCTGATTTTAAGAGTCTGAGCTTTTGCTGTATAATCTGGGCAGGTCAGAAAGTTTCAAAGCTCAACCGAATGTTAATTCCTCTGCAAAGAGGAAGCAGTGTGACTAGTAATCAAAAGTGGAGCCACCCTATTCAGAACACTTTTAATGGTTTTACAAAGTTTAATTTCAGTTCAATTTTCAGGCCCTAAAATGCCAGTAAAAAGAGAGGAAACCATACAGATGAAAAGTCAGAGCAGAATATGGCTTCCAGTTGCTACGCTTAGTTATACTAGCTAATAAGAACACATAATAGTTATTTCAATTAAGGGCTGTATTTGCCCAGAATTCACCTTTCCCTTAGCAGATATCGCCCTTTAGCTACTGAAAGCATGCAAAGTTTAAAACTACCTAAGAACTTTAATTTATATTTTGTAATTTAATATGCAGTGAACTCAATCAAAATATCTTGATAAATATCTGAAGGCAAATACAACTTGCAGCTCCATGATCTTCTGCGTAGCACATTAGAAACAAAAAAGATGTATAGAAGCTATAATGTGAGGCTCTGCAAAATCCATATTTCCTCTGTACATTTTTTTAAGTTGTCTGTTTGCCAGTTTTCACAGCGCATTTAGTAAAAGCAATTATTTGGTTAGTAAATACCATTTAAATCATATTTTAGTTAGCATACCCGTCTATAAAATCTTAACACGACTGGTAAAATGACTCCTTTTCATAGATCAGACTAATAAAACACTCTAAGTCATAAACACACATTAAAATGTGAAATTTCATTGCTCAGTCTATCTGGTACAATTTAAAACCAGTTCTAGTAAATTCCCTTTGACTCCACTAAAGGGAAAGAATATTCTCTAAATTGATACAAATAAAAGATTTAAAAATTCTTGATACGTGAATTACAAGGACAGAAATTTATTTAACTGATAGGAGTTCCTGTCATCTCCTAAATAACTTCAGGTTCATACGGTGTATCTCATACAATATTGAGAAGTAAGAAATAATTTTGTGCACGGTGTCTCGTGACACCTACAATTAAAGTTGTTCTACACTGTCTTTTACAGGCTGCTTTCAGTTCCTGACCTTTATATATTCAAGTTTAAATCTTGTATGCTATAGGATTACTGGGGCGGGGGGTGGGGGGGAAGAGGGAAGGAATAGCCCGGTTAGACTATTTGCAGAATGACATTTCAGTTTTTAAAATCATGTTTATCCTTTAATAAAAAACCCTATGTGATTAAGCAATTAAGATATTCAATTCCCTCCGTGTTCAAGAGGAAGGAACTAAATTTGGCAGCACAGCCACACTCGTGTCAAAGATGTGCTTTTACAGAGCGCGTTTATTTACATTAATACCCACATTTGGCCATACTTGATGAATCTTGATTCACACATGCTCAGAAGAGATTTGCTGGTATTTGACAGTTGTGCACCAAGCGCGCTCCTGCCCATGACTATAAGAGCTGAATAAGAATTTTCCTGCAATAAGAAATTTCAGTGGCTGCCCAGCATCACAGAAGCCTGAGTTCAAGCTGACCGCAGCAGGGAGACAGTTTTGCCATGTTCCCAAGGCTCTGCCTGCTAACAGCAACACAGAGAAAGCTTAACTGTAACAGAAAACAGTTGGACAGTACCAGAACTAAGGAACCAAGGAATCTTAATTCAGCCCCCATGGGTATAGGCATTACAATAATCTTTAATTAGGTGATCACGTATTTTTTCCTACAGAATTTCTGCCCCCTTCAGTGAACATACTCAACATTTCTTTCCATCTGTCTCAATGTGTGGTCCTGAATAATCCTAATTCTGGCATTTCCTAAATTTTGAGCATGTTATTTCCTATCTTTTAAAATACTTCAATATAACGGTTTGCATTTAACAAATGTAATAAATTACATGTAGAAGCAGCACAGTAAACAAAGCACTTTGTCCAGTGAATTCACTGAACAATATCCACAACCACAATAAACAGCACTATTAAAAATAAAATAAAATAAAAAAATCACTAATTAGTACCTTGCTAGTAAGTGCAGGAGAAAGGTCAGGAACTGAGTAGGTGATGGAGATTGAACCTCCACCCCCTTCTCATGCTTCAGGGAGGTTCTCCTACAGTAGGGGTGAGATTCACAACCAAGAAAGGGCTCAAGCACATTTGAGCTCTACTGAAAAAAGAAAATCTATGTTCTAGGGAAAAATGGGAAACAACAGCCTTAGCTGAGCACATTACGTCAAAAAATTATTTTGTTCAGCTGAACTTGTACTATACAGTTGCTACCATAGAAAAGTAAAAGCAAGTAAGTATTTAAGAGGTTTTTTTGACATCTATGGCATTTTCAGGCAAACCGATTAACCAATTTAAACACCTCCTCCTGAATTCAAAAGTCCTCATGCTTAGCCAGAGCTGCTGGGATGTCAAAAAAAAACCCCACTGCCAAAACACAGAAACAACAACACAAACCACCCTCATTTTTTTAACAGGGCCCAACAGGAACCCACTAAACAAGGAGCCACGGAAGTCATTTGTCTCACTAGCAGAAGCAGCTCTAGATAAACATACGCTAGATAAATATTATTGTTTGCTAAACTACTACCTTGTTTTGAAACCAAATTCTCTCTTTGCAAGTCAAGATTTATTAGAGTTACATTGCTTACACTGAACCTGGAAACCTAAATATGCCTTTAGATCCTCACGCGCTGTAAAAAAAAAAAAAAAAAAAAAAAAAAAAAAAAAAAAAAAAAAAAAAAAAACAAAAAAAAAA